GTTCTTCTTGGCAAGATTAGGAGAAGGCATAAAATGACATAAATACCCTTCATTTTCACGGTCAACCGACGACACAAATGACGGAGGATTAAAAATGTCTAACGATCCATAAGCGTGTTTACAAATTGGCAATTTTTATTATGGAGGATGAAAATTGTCCACGCCCTAATAAGTCTAGGACCAAAAATGGAATTGACTCTAAAAAAATGCACCTTATTTCGATTATCAAAATCATGCAAAGATACCATAAGCTGCCACCTTGACCAGGACTCAAGAACAATGCCATCAATCCATCATACTCTATTTCCCTTGATAACATGGAATGACCGCCAAGAAATGCATTAGTAGACAGGCACAAGAAAAAAGTGAAATCATTATAAACAAACAAAATGTAGAGCACTGTTTAGATCTCTTGCAATTATTTGGCAGTGATATCAAAACACAACCTATTCATGTGATTATGTTAAATACGGTGTTATTTCCCGAGATCAGAGTGAAACGCCGTGAGATACCGACTGCCATCTGCGAAGCCTTCGAGGTTGGGGAGGCGTCTGTGCGACTCACGAAGGAGGAGTGGACGAGCTTAGCGGAGATCGAGCGGAAAGTGACGATAATCGGTCGATTTATGAGAAATCGTCCACCACTGGCGCAGATTAGGGCAAAAATCGGAGCGCGTCTCTACGCTAAGGGGGAAGTGCAAGTTGGCTCTGTGAATGCAAATACGATGATACTCCGATTCGCGTCTGAAACTGACTGTAAAAAAGCGTTGATGAGGAACAAGGCAGTGATAGATGGTGAGAGCTTCTGGATTGCTAGGTGGTCTCCAGACTGGAAGCCATGGCTAGACTCCCCATTCACTCCGATATGGATACATCTTCCGAACTTGCCTTTGCATTTATTTTCTGAAGACATGTTGCGAAAATTATGTTCTCCGATCGGAGACCTACTGGCTCTCGATTCTGTAACAGAGAGAAAATCGAGGCCAAATGTGGCCTTAGTTAGAATTGAGATTGATCTTCGAAAGCCTCTTCTAGAAAGGATTTGGGTTGCAATTGGGGAGGGTGGTAGAGGATTCTGGCAATCGATTGTCTATGATAGAATGGTGCCTAAGTATTGTATTGAGTGTGGTAGAATTGGCCATGAATTAAACAATTGTAAGAAGCATAAAGCTAAAGATACTGCAGGCACACCACCTATTTGTGAAATTGCTGCTAAGAAACCAGCCTCTCCTGAGGTTGATGGTGAGCCCCCTGATGGAAGGAATAGGGCTGTGGAAGGTCATAAAGGTGAGAGGAGGCAGACAGTTGTGCATGCTTGTGATTTGGTGCTGAGAATTCAAGGCCTAAGAAGGGGATAAGTCCAGTACCTTTGTATGGGATAAATGAGGAGCAATTTGTGCAAGATGCTATAAAGGAGGCTGCAGATGGCTTAATGGATGAAATTGCTGCTAAAGTCCTAAGGGAAAAGGACTCTGATAATGTTGACAGTCCAAAATTGAAGGAGAACTTAGTAGACATAAGGAAAGGGGAGGTTTTGGGTTCTGGAATGATCAAGAAGAAGGAGGGAGGACAGAATTTGGGTTCTAATGGTAATGACTCTGGAAACATAGACTCCAAGAAGCCTAAGGAAAACCAACCCCAGGTCTGGATTAATGAAAATGGACAGGGGAGGGATTCTGAATCTGGAAGAAAAGGATGCAATATGGGGAACATTTTTGGGTCAAAGAGGCAGATGAAGGGAGGTTCTGAACAAGGGAATTTAAGTACAGAAGTTGGTATAAATGATCCAAGGAAAAATGCAAAAGGAAGGTGGGCTGACATGGTTGAAACGGAGCAAAGTTTACCTGTAGATATTTGGGCCTCTAAGCGGAAGGAAGTGGGGGTTTCTGTCTTGAAGGATAAGGCTGTGACAGCGCACATGACTTTTGTGGTTAACAAGGAGGTTTGGGAAGAAGCTAAGCAGGAAATTCATGCATATATGCTCACAATAAAGAAAGAAATGGGACTGCAAGAGTTTGAGAAAAGGAAAGGAGAAATAGTGGAAAAAACAAAGGAATTGTACTTGGAGAAACTAAAAGAGTTATCAAAACAGGTGGGGAAAGAAGAGGAGGATCCTTGGGAGATGGCTGATCCAGATGATGAAGGGGAGGGGCCTGATCTAGAGTATGAAGAGGAGGGGACTGATCCAGATAATGAAACTTCCTCTCAGGATGTTGGAGAGTCTGAGGAGGAAGGGGACAGTGAAGGGGAGGGATATCTTGAGGACTACCAGGTGTGGATGAGTGAGGTGCTAGAGAAGGTCAGCTATGATTGGATGGATGGGGTATTGAAGGTCATAAAATCATATATGGATGTGATTTATGATAAAAAGGAAAAAAGGCATTTAGAAGATGAGGATTCCATGGCTAGAAAAGCTTGCACCATCCTGATTGAATTGGTTAAGGCTGAGCTGGAAGAGGACTGCATTGATCCAACAACTAAGTTGGGTTGTCAATTAAGGGCAAATCAAGAATGGATAGGAGGGAAGATTTGTAAATGGGCATGGAGAAGACATGGCCCAGGCTGCCCCCATGAAAACTGACTATGGCTAGCCTGCAGCAACATCTTAAAGCTCTTGTAGTGGCAAGATGCTGCTGCCATGGAGGTGATCTCACTCTGGGAAAGGATGCTCCATGTTGGGAAAAGTTTGATGAATTCGTGTGATGATGACAAGCCCAAGTAGAAGCGCTTTTGGAGAATACATGGAAACAGAAGCTCTCTCTGCTGGCCTGAAAACAGATGGGGAAATAAGGGGGAAAAAAGAAGCATGATGGGGTGATTGGTCTCAGTTCTGGATTTATGGCATAAGGAGAGTTTTGGTTTGGAAAAAGGAAGGGGTCACATGGGCCTCATATGCTAAGGAAGGAGGAAAAAGAAGCAGTATGGGGGAATTCATTCTGGCTTTGAAGTTTTGGGAGGCATAAGGTTGGTCCAATGGCGTTCTAAGGTGATGGACGAATCTGGGCAGTCTTGGTTTATGGTGATGGTTTAAGGTGATGGACGAAGCTTGGGTTCTTGGTGGGTTAAATAAAAACCCACTTGATTCTTGGCCATGTTAGAAAAGGCCATATGGACCGAATGGCTTGCAGCTCTGGAGAAGGCCGACTGGGCCTTGGGCCTCTATGATTTTATGGCCGAATGGCCTTAGAGCTTTGGAGGACTGCTGGGTCTATTTAATTAAATAGCCCAGGGGCCTAATTAAATAAGGGCTCTTTTGCAATGGAGCCTTGGTGATATGATAAGGCCATTGTGGCCGGTTGTTGAGATAGGGCCGAGGGGCCTATGGGCCTTGGTCCTAGGGTACAATTTATGGCCTTTATGGCCTTGCGCAGATTAATAATAATAAGAGGCCTTTTGGCCGGATAGATTGAGGGCCTTATGGCCATTTTTGTAGAAGGCCGAATGGCCTAGGTTGAGTTAGGCTCTTGGGCTCTTTCGATTTTTGTAGTATATGTTGGGGTGGTCACTTTTGGGCCACTCCTGTACATAGTCTGTTTTGTGAGCCATGGCTCACTTTTGGGGCCATGGCGTCTTTGTAGAGGTGTTATCCTCCTTTAAAAGTTTGGAATAAATGCACAGTTAAAAAAAAAAAAAAAGTTAAGGTCAAGTGTACTTGCCAAGTAAAAAATTAAAGAAAATAAACAATGCCCACCACTGCCCGGGCATAAAATAAACAAATAAAAACAAAAATAAAAAAGTACAATGGGGGATGCATACAACAACAATAACAACCAAAATGAAGACTTGTACTCTGCTATAATAATTCTTATTGCTTTCTCCCTCTGTCCCTTCCTTTTAAGAAGATCCATAGGGATAGCTTCCAGAACAAATCTGGGTAAAATCTAGTACAGTGAAACACAAAAACAAACACACAAAAAAAACATTAAAAAAAAAAAACAAAGACACCAACTATACAGCCCATACATATCCCAGCACCCATCGCTACCACCATAAACAACCCAGAGTCCCAGACCAAGCACAAGAATCAACCAAACACCCCCACCCCAGACATAAGAACTCAGCCCCACCCCCCCCCCCCACCACACCCCACTGCCAGCGACAGCCGGCCACCACCAGCCCCCTGCACTAACACTCATCTCCCATAGCTAATGGCCACCAAAAAACCCTAAACTACAAAATTATGCTGCAACCACGCCGTCCAAACCAGGAACCACCACCCCGACACCCCCACATAGCACGAATGTAATAGAAACACACATGCATGACCACCCCCGACAAACGGCCACTGCAACACAAACAATTATAATTTTAAAAAATTCGAAAACCACAAAAGGGGAGAAAAATACCACAACCTACACTCCGTGATGGTGGTCCCCGACGCTTGGCTCCATTGCGATCCCCACCGGAGACCATCGTCGCTGGTGATGAAGAGAAGGAATCGAACGGCATAGGGAAATTGTGCGGTCAATGATCGCTAAAGAGAAAGAGAGAAATCGGGCTCCCCAATTAACACTGGCGCGTGGAATCTGATATGATTACATCATGAATAAAAACCCAAAAATACCCCCCTAATAATAAAAACAGGCGCTATTCATTTAAATCCCCTTAAATAATTAAATTAATCTTATCCATCCAACCCCAAAATCTAACGATCCTAACCAATCCACACATTTGTATTTTAACATCCGTTTGTATTTGAATATAATCCTACATACATACATACATACATACATACATATATATATATAGGAAAAAGTTCAGATGTGAACTGTTATTATCTTGTGAACTTGTGCACTGTTTTTAACCTTTCATGTTGGCTGATCGAGGGTTGTGATTGCATTTCTATTTTGGGTGCACGCGAGACCAGTGCACCGTCTACATGCTATTTGTTGGGTTGTAGAGGTCATAGGGGCATTTTAGTATTTTGCACTCACCCACTTTACGCCGTGCGTGTGGGTTGTTTTTATTTATGTTTTTTTTTTTTTTTTTTTTTTTTTCCATGTCGCTTCTCTCTCTCTTGCGTACACCGTATTCTCAGTGCTTTCTCTCCCGAGGGTTGCGCGATTAGGGATGGCTAGGTCCAATGGCAGTCTACAATCGAAGAGGGGTGCGTCCGGCCATCTATTCGCGCCGCCGATACCATCCTCGGCCGGTGCTCACAGAGTGCACTCGGCGGCTAGGCCCTTCAAGCGCCGCGCTGGTGGCCGTCAGCCGCCCTCCACGACGGGTGGTGCATTTGACTGGGAATCTGGGATGCGAACAGGGTAGCTTCTAGGGTCTCCGCAAGGCGACGAGCGGTGCACCGGTGGGCACAACGAGGTTAGTGCCGGTTTTCTTGCTCTGTCGTTATATTCCTAGTATTGCAGTCTTCTTTTTGCTCAAATTGCTCGAATTGGAATTTGGGGTACGTTGTGCCTTGTGTGCATTCGGTGCTCGTGGCCATTTCATGCCGGCTTGCATGTTAGTTCTTGATTATATTGAATTTGATTATATTTATTTTGCTTATTCTGTTTTGGATGCTACTGTGATCTTGTGACCACCAATCTTAGGAATAGCAACATAGTTTACCTTGACTGTGATTGCTTACCAACCTAATTTGGACTGTACACAACCAAATTTTTTTGATTGGAGGAACATGCAAGCTAAGAGCAATGATGTCTGATCTCTTAGGATAATTATTATGGATTTCATGTGTAATATATCACTAATCAAGCTGATTAGTACACTGTATTAGGGTTAACTTGACAATGCCAATGATGTCTGTTAGAGTAATTATGAATTCCATGTCTCACTAATTAAGATAATCAGTGCATGGTGTTATGTGCATTAGTTGTCTGTTTGATTATATTTATTTTGCTTATTCTGTTTTGAATGCTACTGGTTGCTGGAAAAAAAAAAAAAAAAAATATGTTCTTGATTTGTATCTTCAGTTTTTGGAAAAAAAGAAAGAAAATAAGTTCTTGTATTGATTGAGGGTTTAATTTCTTGTTCTATATCTTCAATTTTCCTCTCTCAGCGGTTCGTGATGCATTGGGTGTGGCGGCGGCCGGAGTTGCTTCCCAGGTTTCTTCTAGGCGGCGGTTGGCGCAGAGGTGGGCTCACCGTGGTAAGTGGGGTGTTGTGTGCTTTATGTTTACAGTCATGGGCTATTTCTATGGTTGTGTCCTTGCTGTGCATTATTTGCCTAACTACATTGAGACCGCTTAGTTCGTATTTTTGAAAGGTCTGTGGAATAAAAGCATCGGTTGTGCATTCTTAGCCTAATCACTTAGCTAACATTTAGATAGGATTCCAGTGAGGCCTGTGCAATATAAAGAGCTGTTTAAACCACTGCACTCAGTACTCTTCGAGAACAGTAGGGTAATGCATTAAATTTCATTAGAGGATTGCATTCCTATTCCTAATGCATTAGATGATTGCAACCATTATTCTTACTCTATGGGTCGCTCGATGTATTTGTGGATTGCAGCCATTTTCGTATTGTGCATTCCTAGCCTAATTTAGTTAGATTGAATTTGGCTAGGATTGCATCCGTATATGAAAATTAATACACGGATGATGCATTAAATTTCAGGACGGCGGATTGCATTCCTACTCCTAATGCATTAGAGTAAATCTCATTGGACCCATTTACTGAAGATTAACTAGTTAGACCATAATGCATTGGACCCATTTACTGAAGATTAACTATTTACACTTGCATTTGCACTTCTTACTGGAGGGTAGGTTTAATTAACTAAATTAGGTATTTAAAAATTTAATTATCTACTGGCCAGTATGTAATTGACTGGACAGTTCAATATGCTTAAATCACTGATTGATTGGACTAGTTAAAGGAAAACAAATTCTCCCTTATTGTTTGTAATCTTTGTATAATAGTAAGAATAATAGTAATGTTTTAATTATATTTCAATTGATAGAAAATGATATGATTACGTTTCAATCTGTTTAGGGTGCCATTTACTTATTTGATCAATATCTTAGTTAAGCATTTGGATTTGAATCTGTTAAGGTTTGCAACTACATTGTTAGCGGCTGGAATGCATTGCTCATTGATACTAAATGATAGGATGAGGTTTGAATCGGTTAAGTGTCCCATTTACTAATTTGTTCAATATCTTAGTTTTGCATTTCAAATTAAATCGGTTAAGGGTTGCAACTGCATTAGTTCCATTCTGTTAAGGGTTGCAATTGAAAACAGTAGGCAATAAAGGGTTGCGTCTACGTTGTTAGCAGCTGGAGTTTTTCAAGTTTTGTTGTTCTGGTAGGGGACCTTGTGCTATATGCTTTAACTCATAGTTCACCATTGCACCATGTGGCATGTTGTTGGGGAGGGGGTGTTAACACATTGCTAAGCAATTTTGGTGCGCTTCACTTACTATGATCATTAAATTAAATATGCCCAAATTCTGCAATGCATTTATTGTTAAAAAGAATGGCATCACTATACTCTAAAGATGGAAAAAATGTGGGCACTACAAGTTAGGAGTTCTAGTTATTAATACGTGCATCTGGCTACCTCCGTTGTGCATACATCTTAATAGTTAATATGTTATTAACAGTTAACACGTGCATCTGGTTGTCTTGCAGGTTGACTAGCTTGCCTCTTTCCTTGAAATCAACAACCAGCCAATTCATGCAGTTATGATCCGCAACATGGAACCGAAGAAGATGCAAATAGTATGGCGGGATACAACTAACAAGTATGACTCCAGAGTGTACGCGATGCGTCATATGGAGTCATTCACTGGACAAGATTGTGTAGAATGGGAGTGTGGGTTGATAAAAGGGGACACAGAACAACTTCAAAACCTTCAAAAGCGTTTCATGCATAACATTATTATGTCGGATGTAAATGAGCACAAGCCATCAGTATCTACTCACGTTGCACAGTATGACCGTGAAAGGTCAGGCAAGGCTACCTAGCACAATCGGAACACTACAACACTATGTTTTTATGGTTTTGACTAGTTTTTGGATAGTACATCAATGTTGTTTTATTTAAACTTGGGTACTGATTCGATTTGTTAGCATCCTACCGTAACAATTATTTTCTATCTACTCAACTACATGTAGCAGGAAACTATTTGGGCTTTGGCGCACAAATTAAATTTTGTTGCACTAAGCGTGTTTGTGTGTGTGTGTGTGTGTGTGAGCTGCATGAGCTGCCGTGATAATTCATCTTATTGAACAAGGAGAAAGCAGAAAAATCTTTGGTTGCTGTTAAGTATTTCTATTCACCTTGATCAGCCAAGGGTACCTAGGAGGCTAGGATGGCAAAACTACTTGTGATCAAACTTTGGGGCATGTTTTGTCTACATAATTCTGCTTGTTAAACACCGATAGGCTAGGCGTGTTCCCTCCTATTTGTTTGGGAACACAGTTTGCTGTGATACTGCTTATTAAAGTAGGATATTGCTGGAAAAGCAATGGGTGCACTAAAGTGATTCTTTTTGGTGTGCACACAACTCATTGAATATAGCATTGTAATAAGTAGATATGCTAATGCAACGGTTTTTGTCGCCTGGTCGTAATAGATTATTAAGCTAAGTTCGTTGTGCACAAGGATTCAGTAATGCACACACTTCACTGAAAATAGCATTACACTAACTAGTTATCCTAGTGCTACAGTTCTTGTTAAAAAAAAAAAAAAAAAAAAAATAGAGGCATGCACTAGTTATTCTACTGTGAAGGTCTACTAACTGCTCTTTGTCACCTCTAATTAGACTGCAATCCCTCTCCCTGGGTGCCGCATTGCATATACTCTGGACTCTTGCAGATTTGTTGCTTCGCACCACACCATCGCTTTGGCTTCATGTTCCTTATCAGAACTGCACAAAAGGGTTGTTCCTGGCTGTCTAGGAAAGATGCTATCAAATCCATCTGCAAAAAAAGAGTTTGCATTGGTTCAGAACTGGTAAACTCCAGTTTGTTGCAAATAAAAAACGCAAGGATCCACCATAATATCGGATTATTTCATACTAAATAGAGAGAAGTTTGTCATGCACTTGAAGTATGGTCTACGGGTTCGCCAAGACATACTACCACCCCACAAAAGTAAGGTATCATATTGATGAATGCACACACAAAGCATTTAAAGTTTGATAGCATAATCAGTATGCTTTACTTTTCTAAATGCACAACTGCAATGCATTTGAAGCCAGAATGCACAACGGGGTAGCACAATCAGAATGCTTTCCCTTTGTATATGCTCGTCTGAAATGCATTTGGAGTAACGCTGCACAACGGGGCAACCAACCGTGAACACCAACCCATAGCACTGAATATACCATACAGATGAGTGCACACACATAGCTTTTGAAATTTTATACCACAAACAGAAGGCATTCTATTTAAAATGCACAACTGTGATGCATTTGATGTTAAAGTTCACAATGTGACACCCAACAGAAAATACCACCCCACAGATAATACAATCACGAGCACAACACAGAATTATTGTTAATTTAACTTTAACTACATTACTACTTGTCAAACTGACTTTAAAAATTCAGAAGAAACAAAATTAAAATAGTAGATTTAGACCCCCAATTCATTGCTATACAAAATGAAAAAACCTTTAAATCACAACATTACATATATTGGCTTGACTACATATATAGTAAATAGTGAAATAGGGCAACACTACATATAGTAAACGGTAAGCTGAACACACCCACACGAATTCACCAATTTAGTTCCACAAACTACATGCGTAGATGCTAAATTATACAAAAAGACATTAACCCACACATGCAGTTTACGCAAACTATTGGGAATGGCTTGGATGAATAAGGGGGGAGGGGGTGCATTTGAATTCCAGGCACCACCCCCTAAAAATGCAGAATGCACTACCACCCACCTCCGAAAACACACAGTAGAAAACCCCAACCCCACCCCCTCCCGCAATGTTTTCAAATCAACTAATTTTACAAAGAAAAACATATCATTAAAAAATTAATTCTAAATTCCAAAAACAGACTATAAGTCAATATTAACATGAACTACCTATATGTACAAGTCAATGTCAACCTTGTGCCACCATGACTATACCTATATCCTATATAGTCACACTTTTATTGAACTTATTCAAGTCGAGTTCAAATAGCTCTAGCTCAAGTTTAAGCTAAGTAAACTGTTAGAAAATATATTCAAACACACAATGAAAGTATCAATGTCTCTCATTTTTTTGTTTTTAGATTCTACGTTACATTATAGAGGGGGTTGAGTAATCTTAGCTTACCCTTGAAGCATGCTTTAACATAATCAAATTTGAATCGTCCAATCGCCCAACCTCTAAGTCCATTCACCGGCCAAGCACACGAGAACCTCCGAGATTTTCATGTGAAAGTTTCATTTTCTTTTTTGATAAAATCTTTTTCTTCTCCCCTTCCTTCTCAAAAAAAAGAGCAAGGCTATTTATATATAGCTCGATTTTAACCCAGAGGTACTAGCTTTTAAAAATCTAAAACTACCTAATATTAAATTAATTTATTATTTGGCTATTAATTTATTAATTCAATATGACTAACTCTGGTTTCTTTTAAGACTCTCAGCATTACCACCAACCAATTATAGTGTGATGACTTCTATGTTCATAGTTAATTAAGCATGCAATACGAAATCAATTGAAAAGCTATAAAATCCTGAAATCCACTCCCTTCATGAAACCCACTGAAAAATTAATCCACTGATCAGCCATTACATGCCCGCCGAATAGAGTCCATCAGAACCCATCCATGCATTTAGGGAGCGTTATGCTGTGAGCACGTGCCCACCTTGCAAGGTGGGCACAATTCTATATCCATAATTTCTATACTATAGATTCATAAAATTTATACTGCAGCTTCATAATTTTTATACTGTAAATTCATAAAATTTATACTGTAGATTCATAATTTCTAAATCGTAGATTCATAATTTAAATACAGTAAATTCATAATTTCTATATAGTAGATTCATAATTTCTATACTGCGGATTCATAATATTTGTACTCTAGATTCATAATTTCTGTACTGTAAATTCGTAATTTCTAAACTGTATAGTTATCAAATTATGAACATATAGTTCTCTGATTTGTTAAAACGGAGTTCAACAATTGGAATCTAAAGTATAAATTTTATGAATTTATAATATAAAAATTATAAATTTACAGTATAGAAATTATAGATATGGAACTGTGCCCACCTCACACGTGCTCACAGCATAATTTGCCTGCATTTAGCCCAATCTGCCAGACCTCCAATCACAAATTATCTGTAAAATAAAACCGAACAAGAATTAGTAAACAACTCATAATCCATCATACAAGATAACCGCGCAAATTATGCTGGGCAACCGAATGCACCTTGCAAGGTGCATACGGTTGCAAAACAGCGCCGTTTTGGTTAAAAAAAACGCGCGTCCCACTTAAAGAAGAAATCAGGTTCGATTCCCGGCAATAGCATTTTTATATATCCAGAAATTTATAATTATATATCCAGAAATTCATAACTATATATCCACAATTTCATAACTATATATCCACAGTGAATGAATGAAGTAAAAATCCACAATGAATGAATGAATGAAGTAAAAATCCACAATGAATGAACTAAATATCCACAATATATGATTGAACTAAATATCCACAATGAATGAACTAAATATCCATAAATTCATAACTATATATCCACAAATTTATAACTATATATCCAGAAATTCATAACTATATATCCACAGTGAATGAATGAAGTAAATATATCTACAATGAATGAACTAAATATCCACAATGAATGAACTAAATATCCATAAATTCATAACTATATATCCACAAATTTATAACTATATATCCAAAAATTCATAACTATATATCCACAATAATGTTATTGCTGAGAATCGAACCTGATTTTTTTTTTTAAAGTGGGACGCGCGTTTTTGTCAAAACGACGTCGTTTTGAACCGTATGCACCATGCGCATGGTACATTCGGTTGCACAGCATAACTATTGAGATAACCGGTTGTTATACAATGCACCATGGTCCATAGTGCTATGTGGACTATAGTTGTGAAATAAAACTGTAATAAAATTAAAGAGTTAATACCCAAAATCGTCCTCGACTATAGTGGTTTTTTTCAATTTCGTCCTAAACGACTTTGGTGACCTAATATCGTCCCAGACTTTTGTGTTTCGCTCAATTTAGTCACAGACTTTTGTGTTTTTGCTCAATTTAGTTCCTCATTTGTTATTCTGTCCATTTGGTGTTAAATAAATAGACAATTCAGTAATTTTAATATTGGCATCTCTTTACTCATAGACATGTGAATTGCGAAATCTTTTTTTTTTTTACGAATTACTCCCAAAATTACTCCTAAAACTGCGAATATAAAATTTGATTTGCAGGTCCAGGAGTAATTTTGGGTGCAATTCGTACAAGAAAGAGGAATTTCGCACTTCACAAGTTGAAAGTAAAGAGAGATCAATATTGACATTACTGAATTGTCCCTTTATTTAACACCAATTTGACGAAATAACAAATGGAGGACTAAATTGAGCGAAACACAAAAGTCTGGGACGATATTAGGTCACCAAAGTCGTTTAGGACGAAATTGAGAAAAACCACTATAGTCGAGGACGATTTTGGGTTTTAACTCTAAAATTAAAATGATACTTTAGTCTTGCTAAAATGAAACTAGTGTGTGTAAAAAATGAAACTAAAAAACAAAGCTCATTCAACAGCGTATATTGTCAAATTAAACTGTACTATAATTAAAATAATATTTTAATGTTGTAAAAATGAAACGAGTGTGTGTGGAAAATAAAACTAAAATTCAGAACCATACAACAACTTATATTGTCAAATGAACGTGGAGTGTGATTAAAACAATACTTTAACATTATTATAATTAAACTAGTGTGTGTGGAAAATGAAATAACAAAATAAAGCTCATACAATAATGCATACCGTCAAATAAAACTGTAGTAGAATTAAAGTAATATTTTGATATTGCTATAATGAAACTAGTGAATATGAAAAATGAAACTGAAAAACATAATAACATTGTCAAATAAAACTAAAATGTAATTAGAATGATACTTATTTTATGGACTACATTACTCCATGGGCCATGGTCCACAATAAAATTTGCCGGACAACTCCACCTGAGTTAAAAGGACTAATCCCATAATTATTCCTAGAAGAATAAGGCAAACAAGTTAA